ATATTAAGAACCAGTAACCACACTTAAGTTTTTAAGCCTTTGACAAATACTTATCATATTTAGAGGAAGAAATAAGAAAATGAATTATGAAAATAAAAAAAAGTAATATTGTACCTTGAGGAAACAATGCAATATGTCAAAAGATGAAAAAGGAAACAAGCGTTTTGGTCTACTTCATTAAAATGCTGGTCGGGACATTAATGGGTTGCCCATTTCAAACATATTTAAGAACCACCGAGTGCTTAATAAATATAAGCAATTAAACAAAAAATTCTTATAGTTATGATGTAAGTTTGGAAAATGATTATTATTATGCATAAAACATTATGTATCCTCATAATAACATAGGTAGATTTAATTAACAAGGTGAATGATGATGATGCCCCCATCAGTGGTTTGTGGAACCTTGAAAACTTTTCCGTACAGGTACTTTCAATATTGGAATTCCAAGTCAGCAAAATAAAATTCCTTGTAGTGGGAGGAGCTAACAGCAACTATAAATTGAGAATATTAAAATTATATCAACAGTAATCTTCAGGACGTATCCAGAATGTTTAGAGGAAGTACTGTCATTTTGGTGTGTGTGGCCCTGTTCCTGGTAGCCCCCAGTGAAGGTAGGTCAATAAAAACGGGGCTTTTTCAGTTCTTAATGTTTTTAAAAGATTGTAATATAAAATATGTTAATTGGCATTAACAACAGAAAATTGTCGCCCATTTCTAACATATAAAGATTAAAATTTATTCAACACACTATAAGCAGAAGGCAAACCAAAGGAATATTGGCTGGCCCTAAAGTGCAACATCTTCCATTTTAACCTCTCTGTCAATCTTACGCGTATGGATTTTCAAGCAAGGGATAGACAAATATCATGGATCAAAAAACCTATACTCTTCGCTGATGAGTTTTCTCCACTTAAGGCAGAGTTTCAGTATTGAAAAAAAAAATGCAATTGTAATAGGAAGAAGATCAATAAAAAAATTAAAAATATCGGTACTTAATTTTTTACAGTTTAAGTTTAGTATAGAATAATTACTTTTGTAAATATTGAACAATTATCATTTCAGAAAATATCGTTTATGATACATGTCCTTGTTTATATTACATAAATTGTTTAACGGTTTTTAAACTTGTCTATTTTACTAAATAGAGATATATTTTAGTTGATTATTCATATATTTAGTAATTAATGACTATTCAATATCCTACTTTGAGATCTCATTTGTGTCAAACAGAGCACTGTCATAACAAGAAATGAATATTTTACACAAGTCTAAATCTACAGTAAAATGTCAAATTCTAATGTTTCACAGATTACGGTCAATTTAACATTCAATAAGTACCAGACAAAAAAGAACAAATTACATTTAAATGTAATATCTTTTGATTTAAATTCATGTCAAGATTATGTAAACTGCACTCTCAAGGTCAAGAGAATGAATTTTCAAGCATACAATAGACAAATGCCGTTAATCAACACCTTACTCTCCACATAATTTTTAACCACTTTTGACAAAGTTTCAATATTTTAAAATGCAAGTTTTATAGATATAAACCCTGCGATGTCATTATTTACAACGATACTAAAATATATTCGAAATTTTTTTTTAGTTTTACTTGAGTAAAAATTATTATTTTTCTACGTTTCAAAATAGATTTGAAATCATAGAGCAGTAAAGAAAAAAATTATCAAGTTTTGTACAATTGTCCTATTTGTATTTTTTGAACGTGCTCTAATTGAATAGCTCATGGCGTGTTTATATCGATTTTTTCTGCATTATTTCATAAAGTTTGTCATGTGTTAATGTATTAAGAAGTTAAATATTTATATATCTCTGATATACAAATATTTTGTGTCACTTTTTATTTTACATCTTTCAAAACAAATTAATTACATGTTAAATCGTCGAGGTTTTGTTTTTATTTTGAGATAAGAAAAGAATCTCACTATTTGTACATGTAATAACCCAGATTTCCTTTTGCGATTTTGCAGGATCATAAATGTACATAATTATGTAAATAACGATTACTTAAACATTTTTTTTTTTTGCTTTTTCATATCTGAATATTAGATGTATTCTAATAAAGTGAGTGAAATACGGTCGATTTTGCAATTTGATATTTAAGGTACGTAGTTTTCTTTTGACAGTACTGTAGATAACTTACTTTAAGCGGGCACTTATTATTACGAAATGACTCTTTACCGTCACATCGCGAGAACAATACTTTGCAAGAAGACAGTTGATAAACAGATTTATTTTGGTTTCAGCACCATGAAAATCAAAGCAAGCAATTTTATTTTGCGAGTGGTTCGTGTCGCGATTATCATTTCCTAATGTTTATTAAGAAATATACAGTATTAAGTAATTATATATCAAAAAAGGCTTTTATTTGTTTGGATTTTTCCATCATTTAATTCTACAATAAGATTGCCAGGGAAAGGAAAAAAATCGGTGGATGTGAAAATAGATTCGACATTTCAATTCCTTTGTAGGATATTATCCCAACAATGGTGGATGTGTTTGCATTCAAGTATGGGATCCTGTGTGTGGTGTAGACGGACAGACGTATTCCAATAATGGATGCCTGGCATGCGCGTATGTTAAAAAAAATTAAATATATTTTCATCATATTTATTTAAGATCAAGTAAACGTATATACAATGTATAGAAAAAACCTAAACTGGAACAATGTCCCTTGTATGAAAAGTAATCATTTATATATATATATATATATATATATATATATATATATATATATATATATATATATATATATATATATATATATATATATATATATATATATATTATATAAAAGAAGTGGTTTCATAATCTATTTTTCCTCACATGGAAAAGAAAACTTTTACTATAATGATGATTGTACAAACAGCTAAATTCGTGATTCTTACTCGATCAAAATGTTATCAAAATGTTTCAACAGATTAGAGTTTTACAAAATTACAAACCTTCCAAAGCATTTTTATATTGAAAAAGGAGTTTATACAAGATAAAAATTTACATTTATGTTCTTTTATCAACAGTGGTGTCCCATTGGCATGTAGGGGAGTATGTCCTTGCTACGGACGCTACTGAACATGGACAACACTTTGCAGTAATGTCACCTGTGACCTAAAGATCTATAGTGTATAGGTCTGATATGTCTGTAAAAAGGAATTTCCTTGCTTAATAAATGGAATAATTCTACATCTTTTTATTACTTATTTCGTGTTTCAATCTTCTTTCTTTCGACTCACCTATCAACCAAGCAGCTTCGCAAATGTTGACCGATAAGAAAGAGCATTACTTCATTAGAATTGAAATGTACAACTCAATTTAGAGCAAAAAAATCAGGTTATTGATTGAAATGAACTGAATAATATATTCCTAACAAATGATGGTTTGTACGGTGAGGATTTTTATAACATACCACCATATTTTCATGAATTCTAAGGTTGTTTCCCCTGAAAAACATCGCATGGCTCTTCAGTTAAACAATACTGAATTCCTTTTACCCCAGGATACTTGAATATGTATGATAAATTTGGTTGAAGTGGTTCTGGAGAAGTCGAAATATGAACTGTTTAGAAACTGCACACGGCAGTCAGACAAATGTTCAAATGAAATATGGAAACTTTTTGAAAATAAAAGCTCGTCAATAAGTAGGGTGTACAAGGCAAGGGCACACCCCCCTCGGCTCTTTGACAAGATATTTCTCAATTTTTAAAGTTAAATTATATTTTCAGTCAGTATTGCTATCTTCAACAAATTTGATTAATTTTATTTACCTGAAAAAAGTTGAAAAGCAAAAAAAAAAAAAAAAAAAAACATTGCCCACTCTCAAAAATCCTTTTTCGGTGTGGTGGGGGAGGGGCAACTTTTTACAAGACCAACCCATTTCAGTACCAGTTTTTGGGCATTTAATCCTACATTTCCCTGATATCAATTACCTGTTATAAGCTTTGAAGGGGGGGGACCAACCAGCCTTTCATGCAGTGAACATTTCCAATAGTAAAAGTAATGTTGGGAAAAAAGGGGGCAGGCCCCCCTGGCCTCCTCTGTTGCTACGTGCCTGCTTTTTGTCATGATCGGGAAATAGTGAAGAATATCATCGACAATTTAGGATGTATATAATGACCTAACATTTAGTACGAAAAACGTCAGTTAGCATTATGACTCAATGGTAGTGTATTTTGCTGACAAGGTCATTGTATCGACCATAGAACTTACTAAAATGTAACTTTATGACTGCTGACATTCTTTTTTCATCAAATTTGTCAATAACGTACCACATTTTAGAAATTGTTCATACCTAGAGCATCTTCTTGCGTTTTCATAACAACTGAGAGGTATTAACCCCTTTTCTTGACAAAGGGTCATTAAGCAGTGAGGTATCATTATAGTGCCAACGTTTGTCGTGACATGGGGTCTCGGTATAAAAGGTCTCATCCGAAGGACCCGAAGATTTCACAAAAGTGTCGAGCCCACGGCGAAGAAACAGTTGCTACCCATTTTTCTAATTAGTTCATTCGCGGCTCACGAGGAACTCACATATCAAGAGGTTGGATCCGGTGCCTAGGAGGAGAAAGCAAACAACATTCGCTCGTTGTGATTTTTATGGTTTGATCAGCAATTTTCCATTGTCAAATGTAATAGAAAAAATGAAGGCATAACATGTCAGACAAAAGATGACTTAATATGGGATACATTTGCTTCAAGGTCACAAAAACTACACTGACATTAAACAGGTTTGTTAAAATCAAAATAATATTAACAGTAACTTAAGTGACGAAAAGGATGTCCCAGGTTAAAAATTGATGGGATTCAGCGCTAGTAAATTGGGATAACATGAACATCAGGGAAAATAGCGGACTTGGAATATGACAAAAAAAAAAAAACAAAAACAAACAAAGTTTCTTTGTATCATTCAGTCAAATAAGTAGCAGCCCTTGATAATCCATATTGAGTTTAAAAAATAATATTCAAATATTTATTCGATATGGAAGACCATCCATTGTTTTATATTTTAGCTTAACTGAAATTACTATAGTCGAAATATAAAATTAATGGAAATAACTTTTGATAATTTATGTACATGTAATGCCGTGGACGTTTTTAGTGCTAAATGAGAATCAAAATGATTATGTTTGCCGAAAACTATTGTAACCTTTACATGAATGAATCATTTAATTTGATATAATTATTAAAATACAATCTATAAAATTCAAGGCCACTAGAAACTTAAGAATAAGCACCTCCCAAAAAGCAATAATTTAAATGTTTAAAAAAAATGTCAAAATGACTAGATTTTCAAATGATTTAAAAATCGAATCTTTTTTTAATGAACCATTTCTAACTGTAGTGAAGGAGAAATTTCAAGAGTGATGTAAATCAGATGTGGATACTTAAAATTTTCAAGGAACTTTTAGACAATTTGAAATCACAAGATTTTATCAAAATCAACAACTTAAAAACTTACGACTTTTCAACTTTATACACAACCATTCCCCACGATAAACTGAAGTCCAGGCCTTTCGATATCATTGACAGCTGCTTTTTTAATAAAATGGAACTCGGAAATTTTCTTACCTTGTCATTGGTCATTTGCAAAATTATTTTTGTTAAAAAGCATTCTGGTTGAACATACAAGTACTCTGAAGTCGACATCAAAAAGATGCTTGAGTTTCTGATTGACAATATCTAGGTGGTTTTCGGAGACCAGGTGTTCCAACAATCTATTGAATTCCCATGGATACTAATTGCACCCCGTTATGAGAAGACTTATTTTTGTATTCATAGGAGGCAGAATTCGTGCTATATCGTATGTGTGGAAAAAAAACACTTGTTGTGGCCTTCAACTCGACATTTAGATATATCGACGACGTACTGTCAATTAACAATGGTAATTTCCATTTTTACATGTATGTCGATACGATATATCTGGTGAGCTGGAGATAAAAGATAAAAGATACCATAGAGTCGGACACATCTCTTTCATATTTATATATTTTACTTGAAATAGACGTTAATGGTAATCTAACAACCAAGCTCTATGATAATTGTGATGACTTTAACTTTTCTATCGTCAACTTCTCTAACTTACGAGGGGTGATCAAAAAGTTCGCAAACTATCTTTATATCTACAACACGACGATTCAGATTTGAAAAAAATTAGGTACACACATAGCCAAACGCAAATTCTATAAATAGTATATGTTAAATAAATATTTGCTCCTTGTTTGTGACGACACAATGTGAAAATAACGTCACTATATAGGTCACTTGTGGTGAAAAATGGTTGTCTCAATCGTACTCGTTCAACGATCGACTGTAAAATTTATGGTACATGTATATCTTAGAAGTTCCTTTGCAGTGGCGTATTATAATCTGTACACAGTTTATTAAGACAAATTACTTCCTTTAATTTTAATCAATGATTGGATTGATTGTTTTAGTGAAGGAAGGCAGATGGTTAAAAATCATACTTGTTATGTTGCTCAATGAAAGCAAGTTTGAAAAGACCCTAATGTAGATTTTCCGCAACTTCCATGGAATTCCAAGGCATATTCCATGGAATTCCATGGAGTTTTTGTTCCGCAGAATTCTTAGGAATTCTCCGGAGTATTGGGACGGAACTTTTTTCGGAATGATTTGGAATTTTGAATCTAGCCTGGAAAAGAGCGGAACAATGCCAGAATGGAAATTTGCGGAGGAAATCCGTGGAATTCCAGGATATTTGTAAATCTAAGGAATTCCATGGAAATCCATGGAATTCCAGGATTCCAAATTCCAAATACATGTACAATGAAAACTGAAATAATTAGTGCCACATAATTACAAAAAAAACTTAATAACATCAAAATTGTTCATAGATCAACTCTATATTTTCAAAATAAAAAATTCATTGTTTCTTTTACAATGTTTTTTGAGACAAATATTGCATATACTCTCAGGTGTACAATCTAAGCACATTTTTTAATGTATTCTAACTGAAAGTATTTTTACATCAATGCTGAAGGTTATTTACAAAAATATCCAGAGAAAAATATGATTACTGGAGAATCACCTTGGTTAAATTAATGATAATCATGCTATGATATACATGTATTTAGTAAACTCCAGTCTACATTTTCTAAAATAAGAAGTTAGTTTTGTTAAATGACACTGGCCATGGAATTGAAGAGGCCATTGAAACCTCAACAGGGTATACATTTACAATGAACTGCCAGTGGCTTATGTACTGGTACAATTTCAAAGTTAATGACTAGAGTGACAAACACATGTATTAAATGCAAAAAATATGTACTACACAACTATATTGATACAAAGATCCCATAAAATCAATAGGTACTATTTTCCCCCAGTGTATGTGCCAAAGATCCCGATTAATGAAGATCCAAAACTTCTGAGGTGTTTGCAAGAGAATCACTTCCTCACTGATATCCCATGAAATTAGTAAATGGTCATGTTAGAGGGTTGACAGATAACTGGTGTCAGGAACGGATTCACTTTCAGTACGAAGGCTCAGAAAGTTGGATGTTGATAATACCCACAGACACTTCAAACTTTCCTTGCACAATTTCTGAAAGAAAAGATGACCATTAAGATGCATCATTATTGATATCCAGATAAATACTAGTATATGACAAATAATAAACTAAAGCTATACAAAGCAATAGAAAATAATTAAGAAATCTGACCTTTTTCACTGTTTTTGGTTTTTTTCATACAGCTCTTCTCCTTGTGAGCATCCGGATTCCTGTAAAATGCATGTAATTACTTCATAGTAGATGATTGCTATTTGATCTAAAATAATTATGCATGCCTGTGCAGTTAGCATGTTTAGATTACCTGTCAGAATTCATTGTTTTAAATTATTAGAATAAGGAATTTTAAGCGTGTTAAGAATATAAACCTTTAAATTTTGTTTCCTTGGCAAATTTGCAATATTTTTTTTTCTAATCTAATACTAATAGACATGGATTAATAAAATCAAAGTTAGTTTACTTGATTTGAATGATACCGGTAATTTGAGCTAGTTCTCACCATATTCACAAGCCTAGTGACTGATTGGCTAAGCATCTACATCCACCAAGTTATCAAACGCCAGCACTTTGGGGATCTCAAGCACAATGCAGCAACTATAAAATAATTAAAATAAAAGCTGAAAATGATCATGAACATGCATTAAAAATATATAATTAATCACATTGTACATCATACTTTGTAAATGTTATCTTGAACAAAGGAAGGTACAGGTAACTAAAATTCTTTACATCAGTTCGATCCCAAACGAAGAAATTTGGGTTGAAATCCATGATCTTAACGATATGTTTAGAGTTGTTAAATAATTATTACAAAATTAAAATAATGCACTAATGATTTCACCATCGGGCAGTTTATGTGTGGTGCCCAGACTAATGAACAGTAGCAGAAGCGTTCTTCATTCAAGGGCACATAAAATACTGTACAATATTGTACCTACCGGGTCTTAAAATGTCTTCATCTTCTTCCATCCCAAGCTAATCATGATTCCCCTGTTCTAGACACTCTCTTTTCAACTTTTCTTCTGTGCAACATCAACATGGCATTTGATATTTTTGAATTTCGGCGTGTTGTTTAAATCAATTGTTCATCGAGCCCGACTTCGATCCCGATGTTATTGTACTATTAGTCGACAGTTAAAAAAAATTCTAAGTAATTTTCCACATTTTTCAAGTGCAGAAAATGGCTAAGTTTCTCATTTTATCATTTTTTCCAAAGAATTCCACTACTTTCCAAACCAAAAAATGTCTAAGTCCATTTTTTTTTTTCAAATTCCAAAATATTCCATAAACTTCCAGACACACTTTTCGAGTTTGGTATAGAAATGATTGGAATTCCATGGAATTCCAAAACTTTTCCAAACCCTTTGGAAAATCTACATTAGGGCAGATGTATTTTTAATTAAGCAATTTGCACTCAAAGACCTCAAATTTACACTTTGAAAAATATAGTATACCTATTAAATACCTAAGATATCGTTTACTTTATACTTTAAACATATTAGATATGATAAAAAGGAGGCACCCATTCTCTATCCATCTTGAATAAAAGTCTCTCCCGAGACAGAAGATTTGGGTTTTGATGGTTGCCATGCTTATTTTTGGAAAGGATATTCTTATCCACCTATTCTGTTGCCGAGATTTGACCATTTCTGACAAATGAATTATTCTTGTTATAAAAATTAACTTACATGGAAAGAAATATAAAACTCGGAAAAATCTTGCGGCTTTTGTGACAGAACGCTACGGAGGGGGTAACGTGACCGCCTATATCACGCGATTCGCGCATGAGCAGAACGGTGACAGATGTGTTTTAAAATCGGAGAGGACTAATTTAAAATATAATCAACACTGAAACCAAATATCGTTTCTTTTATGGAAGTTATTCAATTAGTTCGCGAACTTTTTGATCACCCTGTAAATAGTAATATACTTTCATCACCTGCATACGGAGTTTACATATCTCAGTTGATTAGATACGCAAGAGTGTGCTCTATGTATGAAAAACTTCTACCACGAGGTAAATTTTTGACAAACAAGTTGATAAATCAAGATTTTCAGCAGTCTCGTTTAAAGTCATCATTTCGTAAGTTCTATGGTCGATACAATGACCTTGTCAGCAAATACAATTTATCATTGAGTCAAATGCTGACTGACGTTTTTCATACTAATTGTTAGTCCATTATTTATACACTTGATGACTGATTTTCTCGTTATTTCCCGATCATGACAAGAAGCACACGGCTGGTGTGACCGGTCGGCAGGAGATTCTCACTTCTTCATTGCACCTGATCCCACCTCTGATGTTTTGGAGGTCTGCCTTTGCTCTGCTCCTTTTTTGCATTGTTTTATGGACTTTGATCTGGAATACTGTATGTCATTCCAATATGTTTCATTCTAAAAATTCTTACTGACTTCCAAGGATATTTTAAGGAAATTAGTACCGATGTATTGGTTGAAGCTTATCCAATATTAGTTTTATTATCTCCGATATCAGCACTTTACATTTGTTTTCCCTGAATGTTTTTTGTCACAAGTATTTGCGTAAAAGGACGACACGTGTTCCTTTTTTATTTTACAATTAATGTATTTTGTGTTTTATTGTATACTGCACTGGCCGAACAGTTGTTTTGTATTTTGTATCTTACTCGCTTGCTGTGGAAGAGACATAGTACGTTTGTCTACCGGGTGTTTAACAACAGCAATGTAGCATACTAGTGCATCAGTCTTCAGAGTTGTCAACTGATTACATTGAGCAGTGATTTAGTGAACGGTTTATACAATGAACCTTAAATATAATTGATTTAAAAAGAAAATATGAAACAGATTCTTTCTATTTACTGAGTATAATGTTAAGCTTTAAATTACACTACAGTTCAATAAAGATGGATTTTGTCTTTTACATAACAAAATATGAAGATAGAAATCTTAACGAACATTGAAATATTACAGTATGCCCTTTGGAGCCCAGGAAATACGGATCTCTAAAAAAACATCACAGATTGAATTAGAAGTAAATATCCATTGTCGTTAAATCACAGACGCCATGTGCACCTTGTCCTCATTAAAAAAAATACAAGAAAAATGAAAAAGATGAAGCAGCATGTACAAATTACGAACGGTAATAAAGCTAAAATGACAATTTAAACAAAACACATCGGGTGCGGAGTATGCACGGACATCTCAAACATCATAAGATATAAACATCCCTCCTGTACAGATTACATACAAAATGTGGTCATTGACATGATCGAGGAAACAGATGATAAATTTACGGGTGAAAATAATGGTTTAACGAACGTTAAATATTTAAATTCATAATAAATTGTATTTTTCTATAAAAATCATTGTATCGACCAAGGATCTTAAGAAATGACTTTAGATAAACTTTGATATCCTTGTTCAATCCTCTTTGTGAATTACATGTCTCAATTGAGGAAAAGTTCCTATATATAAAACATGCTCATGCGTATCGAATCAACTTAGAGATATGATTTTCATATGCAGGAGATCTTTTGAAGTCATTGTTATAAAGTTTTGTTGTATCTTTAGTAACCAGTGGTAACCATTTTTTTTTCTAGCAAAATATCCAAACATAAATATGTGCTTATGTATGTTCTATCTTTTCTAGTTTACTTGGATGCATCAGGTCGACAGATGAATATAAATCAGAAACCCAGGCATCATTTTAGTATCAATTTTGGATCAGGTGTAAAATCCAATTATTTTGAACAAAATAATTTTGCAAATGACCAGTGACGAGGTAAATGAAATACAGTTTTTTCAATTTTACAGAAAATGCGACTATCTGTGATGTCAAATGCGTAGGAATTCATTTAACGTTGATATAACGGAAATTGACCCAACTCCAGAAATCTTCACACGAAACAAATATTTAAAGAGGGCATGGCACGGACTCTCAAAAATACCAGCGGTCAAATCATGTTCAATGTTCATAATGCTCTTAAAGGAAGTGGAAGAGAGAAATTCCATATGCTGGTCATAATTAACAGTGTAATGCAATAAAAATAAAAAGTTATCGATAGAAAAGTTGAAGTTATTTCGTTTATCAAGTTTTTGAAAGGGTTGTTGATACCGTCTTTTTTTCTAGTGACTTATATTTAAATTTAAAACACTGTCTCAGATTCAGTGCTGTCTTCTCTTTTTGAGCCGGGGTTGGTTTTTACGTGCACGTGTTTAATAATTATGAAAAAGGGTAAAGATATAAAAAAAAAAAGTGATCGAATAAACAAATTTTCACTATGATCCATTCACAATTGCCGGAAGGAAATTAATAACCTGTTTAATTTTTTGAAAAGCAATTCATTTATGAAAGTCATGATTTTAGTGTCAGAACAACAGTCTGGCCCCGGAGAGGAATTGATATAATCATCGCTTGACAATAATACATTATACTTGTATAAACTGACGTAAGGTTAGAATAAAATCCGAATAACTTTTTTTCAAGATTGTGAAAATAGAACAAATAAAATGAAATTCATAAAAAAATCTTTAAAAATAATCAGTTTTAACACCTGTAAAGAAGAAATGGAAAACAATATTATGAAAGGTTTTCACGACTTAAAAATGATCTTAAATAAGATTTAAGCCATTAACAAATAGAAACAATTACAAGTATAAAACATGTATTTTGAAATTATTTTCCTAGAAACAAGTTACTGAATATTTTATCAACGGAATCAAGAAACGCTCTATTCAAAATATAATAGATACTTTAATTTTATAACCCCGCTAAGGTACAGCTCCATGAGATAAGATTTGTCAGTATTTCCCAGAGTTTTTCAAAGAATACTTGTTTGATTCCTATAGACTACTTATATAAACACTGAACAACTTGTCTTCAACGTAAATATAAACATTGATCATTTTTTTTTACATATTAAAGTTGAAGATGATACAAGTCAATGTATAAAAAAAATAATGTAAATTCTGTTTGCATGCTGAAACAAATGATCAATAACATGCCCCGCTTTTTTGTTGTACATCATAAATCAACTATAAACAAATCGAATAAAAAGGGAGGTTTGCAGGTAATTTTATAAATCCGTAAATTGCATATGTAGTTTACCGTAACTTGTCATTGTTACTTTGGGGCTCTCAAAATGGCACACTTCTACGTTTTTCTCCTTATAACTGCTTTCTTTGCCAAAGACAGTTATCAAGGTACAGTAATTCTTTTTACATTAATCATTCATAAACTTATATGTACAACGAACAAAATAAGAAAAGCATTACGAAGATCTTTTTTTAAAGATTGAATTTATTTTCTGAGACAATATTTAGATTGATGAATGTTTGTCATTCTCATTTTTTTTTAAATTTTTTATTACCAATTGAGAAGAAACCTGGGTAATTTTCACGTTCGATTACATTTTAGGTATTACAATAATTATTCAAATAAAATGTAAAGCATCCGTTTTTTTTTAAAAGAATGCCTATTTTTTTCATTGTAAAAATCATGGCTCTTTTTTTCACATTCGTTTAACATGTGTACAAATGACTAGGTCTTTAATGTAGCTTATCTTTTCGTTTTTCATTCAGCACGTTGTATTTGCACCACACAATATGACCCGGTATGCGGAACAGATGGCAAAACTTACTCTAATCCTTCGTGTATGAGATGCACGTAAGTAAGAAACATTAACAGAGTTCACTCCATATTTATTACAATAATCACAATATTTACAAAATCTTATTTTAACTTATTTTAATTTATCAATTGAAAGATATTCAAGGATATTGCGAGTCAATTATAACGTAAATTCAGGCAAAAGGAAGTATAATAAATATTGTCTTGTTTTTTGAAAAATATATATGGCGTATCTGAGATTAAAAAAAAAAAAAAAAAGAATACGAGATTAAGTGTAGATTTACCTGATATTTATTATTTACATTCCAATTCAAATTTTCACTGATTTTGAACTCAAATATCCCTACCTTTTGTAATATTTTTTTTGTTAAATTGACTTTAAACTGTGTCTGGTACTTAAATTCCGAGTCTGTAAATAAATCGGCTATTGTTTTATTTCTGTGATTTCATATCTTTGAAACGCGATTGATTTAAATTGTTAAATTTGCAGGAAAGTACCATCTTTACATGAAGACAAAATTAATTAGAAAGTTGTTTTATATTTAAGTTAGTCTCAACGTATCAAAATTACGCCATATATGACTTTAATTATCACAATTATTTTATTCTAGACCAAATGTCCGGATTGCTTGTCGAGGAAGATGTCCCTGTTGTGAGTTTTCAAACAATATCTTTCGTCTAAAATATGATAATAATATTAATCTTATATCTTATGTACAATTTTTATTTTATTTTGTTTTGCTAGAATATCAGAAACTTTTTTTATTTTAAAGCACCATGTATCTGCACTGCTCAGTATGATCCAGTGTGCGGTACGGACGGAATAACGCACTCTAACATTTCTTGTATGCGCTGCTCGTACGTATGTTTTTTATGCTTTATATTACATAATATATTACTGCATAAACACTTTGCAAAATTTATATAAAGTCTTATCCAATCCGAAATGAAATTTGAGTTTGAATATTGCTTGTTATCTGAATATTTCATTTAAAATATCAACTGATTTTTTGGTAATCTAAGAGGAGAGATAGAGAAGGTATCCTGACACAAACAAAAAATGCTTACATGTCTCCCAATTGTTAATAGTGTTCATGGTTACAATTTTCTTTCCCAACTATCATACCCACTAAAATATTGAGTATTCTTCTTTATATTTCTTTCATATATGATAGATATATGGATATAACGAACAGGGTTCAAGTTCAAAAGATTATTAAACAATATACATTTGGAGCAGAGCAAACATGGACCTCTCAAACATCATAAGTACGTGGGATCAGGTGCCATGGAAGAGTGAACATCCCGTGCCGACCAGTTACGTACACCGTTTGCTCCTTGTCAGGATCGGGAAATAACGGAAAACTTCGTCGACAATTCAATGTGTAAATAATGGACTAATGGTTACTATAAATGACGTCAGTCAGCTTTTCACTTAATGATAAATTGTATTGACAAACAAGGTCTGATGTTTAAGGGGGTCCCTATTTGCTCTACTCCTGACTTATATTGTTTGGACTTTTGAACTTAAATACTGTCCGTTTTCCCTATTTATTTAATTCCTGGACAATTGTAAAGACAAAGCGATAAATATAAGTTAGAAACAAAAATTTGAAATCTTTATGACATATGCAGGCCAGGTGTGAGAGTTGCCTGTAAAGGCGAGTGTCCCTGCCCGCGGCCCTGTAACTGTAAGGATAAGCCTAAGTCCCCCGTGTGTGGAGTAGACGGCAGGAACTATGACCATCCTTGCTGGGCACGGTGTCAGTAAGTTAACCTTAATATTTTATTGTGTATACTTTTATGAGCCATAATAAAATGTATTCTTATAAAAAAAATATTAATAAACAAACTAATATGTTTTGGCTTGAATGTTAAAATTGAAAAAAAGTATTTTAAAAATAATAAATGGTGATCTTTAGTCATTTACTTATTGAAACTGTACTTTAAAACATTGCAAAGCTATATATAACATCTCTAAATTTACATTAAACTGATCGTACTTGCAATATGTTTAAAATCTGCGATTGTAATTGTAAAAATTATGAATTCTTTCAGTTTCAAGTGCTGTCCTTTACATTTATTCTTTTTACTTTTTAACAGCAATATAGCAGTACAGTGCAATGGATACTGTCCCTGCAAAGGATATGGAAAATGAAATAGTATCAAAATCTTATTTTTGTGTAGATAATTAAGTGACAGAAATAAATAATCTGCTCAAGTTAGACCTATTACACTGAATACATAGCCAGGAAAATATGAAGATTTATTCAGCCAAGAAAATCATATTCACAGAGGAGAATATGATGTATCTTGGCTGAAGAAATCTTCATGTTTCCTAAACATTCACGCAATGAATTGTTAATTATACCGAAACAAGCAAACACTTCAATTAAATAGACATAAACTATAAAATTAGGCAACGCTCTCAAATTTATTTTCATTTTTTACATAAAGTTACTGAAACCCTTTGACACATCACTAATCAGTAGGGATGTCAACGAATAGTCGACTATTCGACTATCAGTCGAATGGACCGACGATCGGATCGAATAATGAAACGACATTCGAATATTTTATAAATGCAAAAAAGGAGGTGAAAAAGAATTATCAACTCAAAATCGTAAAGCGTCATTCCTCAAACCATTATAGTACACGCCTTAAGACGAATAGGAGCTTAAACACAGTCACAGTATTTAAATAAGTTTCCACATTGTTTACATGGAAAGAACAGTTATTACATACCGCTATAATTATTTTATTACTGACCTTATTTGTTATTGAAGTAAATTATGCAGCGCTTTACTGGACTTGGAAAATTAATTGGACTTGTACCAATTATAAATTTATTTATTACCTTTTTGAATGTTCAAATTATGCAATAGGAACACAGCAGAGCCGTAAAATTTTGAAACTGCGATAATTATTAAATGAATAATCTCCTCTTTTTTCTAATTTATTTTAAATAAGCTTTAAAATCACTGTTGACCATTCTCTTAGCGTAACGTGAAGACCAATTTTTAAATGTGATTGACGAAATTCATACATTTTGGGGAATCAATTACTCAGGTGTAAATCTATTTCATTTCTACATCTCATCCCATCTAATGCCCTGTTCACACGACAAGTTTAATTCGCAGTAAATTAATGCGAAGTAATGCCCTGTTCACACGAAGAGTTTAATTCGAATTAAACGTAAGTTTACTGCGAATTAGCTTCGCTTACCGTTCACACGGAGAATTTAATGCGAATAAGTTTACTTCGCATTAGTTTACTGCGAATTAAATTACATCGCATTAGCTCCGTGTGAACGCTAAGCGAAGCTAATTTGGATTAAATATTGGGGCATGCGTAATGGCAAAATTAAGTCAAATCCGTCATGTCGGTGGTCAGCTTTAAGTACTTGTGCTATTTTAAGTGAAAAACTAAGAAAAAATATGTTAATCACTGAAATATGTCTCCAGACACTGTGGCATTATGTCTAATGCATTTGCTTCTGCATAAAGTGACGTGATTTGCAAATGACGTCATAATAGCCTTCCCCACGCCTGACTGTCGAAGTAAAAATTTAATTCGCATTAGTTTACTTCGCATTAGCTGTCGTGTGAACGCTATTTAATTCGCATTAGTTTGATTCGCATTAGTTTACTTCGCATTAATTTACTGCGAATTAAACTTGCCGTGTGAACAGGGCATAAACTAATGCGAATCAAACTAATGCGAATTAAATTGCGTTCACACAACAGCTAATGCGAAGTAAACTAATGCGAATTAAAATTTTACTTCGACAGTCAGGCGTCAGTAAGGCTATTATGACGTCATTTGCAAATCACGTCACCTTATGCAGAAGCAGATACATTTGACATAATGTCACAGTGTCTGTACACATATTTTAGTGATTAACACATTTTTTTCTTAGTTTTTCACTCAAAAATATCACAAGTACTTAAAACTGACCACCGACATGACGCATTTGACTTAATTTTGCCATTACGCACGCCCCAAAATTTAATTCGAATTCGCTTCGCTTGGTGTTCACACGGAGCTAATGCGAAGTAATTTAATGCGCAGTAAACTAATTCGAATTAAACTACTTCGCATTAAATTCCCCGTGTGAACGCTAAGCGAAGCTAATTCGCAGTAAACTTAGGTTTAATTCGAATTAAACACCCCGTGTGAACAGGGCATTAAGGTTCATCTGAATATCGGTGCGTAACACACAGTATAGACATTCGATGTTACTTTTTACGTAATTTTACGAAAAGGGTTTTTGATTTATTAAAACGCTATTGGTGAGTTTTTTTTTTTTTTTTTTTTTTTTTTTTAAAGGTCCGAATAGTCGACTATCGTTCGAATAATGCAATCGAATGTTCGACTAAGGAAAATAAAAATTTTGACATCCCTACTAATCAGCAATCTTGTGACGTAAGCCAGGCTATTGTGACGTCTACTGCTTTCGGGGGTTTTCTTTCAACAAACGATAACAACAAGGTATATTGCAGGAATATGCACTAAGTATCAAAAGAGGTGGACTAAGATGAAAAGCATCCAAAGACCGTGTAATATGTAGTTTTATGGCCCGATCACTTGATAATCGAGAATTAACCAATTAGATAAAGCGGTGTGTAGAATAATTATAATGAGGTATAATAATATTTGTTATCTCACTTTTTGAATGCAGTTTTAAATCAAATTCAATGCAATATAATACGTATGGATGATGTGAAGAAAAAAAAGAACAATTTTCTTTAAAGGATGACTGTACTTAAGGAAACTTAGAAATTGCGACATAATTAATTTTAAAAATGGGCATATTTCTTTTAATGGTAGAAATGGCCAATGTCTTATCTGCAACTTTGTGTAATTACGTTAATTAAAAGTTCGTATTAGCGAAGTTCGAAGTCGTTTTTATTGGGAGTAGTCATTGCATATTCTGGAATCTCCATAGGATAATGAGTACGCCCACCTTTTTTACAGGCTTAATACATAGTCAGCGCATGTTTGTCTATTGTTTTCCTTTTTATGGTAGTTGTATATTTATATATATTACCTCATATTAGAAGGAGATCAATAGACAAAAATGCGCTCATAGTTAAAAAGAGAAAAAACTTTCTTCGTGTGTTCACTTTCTCTATAGTAAACAGGCCATTTTGACCACGTTGTTACCTGTTGAATATTATAATTAACCACGTGATTTCTATACCCAGGTAACTCTGTGAATACTAAAATTCCATCACGTGACGTGTAAGGAAACACGCAATCTGCTGGACGATATTGATTGTCCATATCTGTTTCAAACCATTCCGATCGAGCCACGGGTTATTCTTTTTTCTCTTAGATATCTATAAGATTATTCTTATATTTATCTCAAAAGCGTTTCATTTTACTATAATTATATATTTTCGAGTGTATTATATGTCACTACATGTTCGAAGTCTACAAGAAAAAACAGATTTATTTATTATGTTTTGAACCATTGCTTATCATGAACATCCAAAGTAAGATCCAGTAAATAAAAATGAAATCATACCATCCCTAGCACGCTAATTTATGGGGAGAAGAAATTCAGAAAAACTTAAGTAATTGTGACGTTTTTCTTTCTTTTTTTATAAAAAGGGAAAGAGTAAAGCAAGTCTTAATGTTGTTAGTGGGTCTCGATCCCAGACCTCAATATTATTGATTCTGTGCATTACCGACTGAGCTAGTCGGCACTTATATTCGAACACGCGAATTGTTGACATCAGCCATTGTTGTTGATTATCAATAGCTACTTCTACTGGTCGATGTTATTTGTTATTAGTTATATACTTTATTTCAAAACGTTAAAATGATAATGACAAACATATGCCGAGAGAGAGAGAAAGAGAGAGAGAATGCACCAAATATAAATACAGTAACTATTCTAAATTTAGACCACTCTTCACAATATTAGCTCCGCCTCTTATGCATATTTATAAATCTTATCTCCAATCAAGGGCAGATAAGTCTAATTTCCTGATATTTGCAGAGAGGTGGGGTAAGAAAACAATAAATTATTTTATAGCAACGCAGTTTTTAAGCTTTATGACATTGCCTTTCATTAGGAAATAGACCAAACTCTGTAACAAATGACTTAAGGCAAAAATAAAAACAAAAATAAATGTGACAACAGAGACTCGAAAAGACCCCAAAACCGGCGTTAAGTGCAGTCATCCTTTGCAAATAGAATAATTCTTTGAAATTTTAATTTTTTTGATCCTCTACAAACATATGTGTCGCCCGCGTAGTGCAGTTATTAGAGCGTCTGCTCTAGATTCGCGACGTTCAGAGTTGATCGTTACGTCGCAGGTTCGAATCCCACTGTGTGACGTGGAGACCGGTATTTCGGGTGAAACCGTAAAAATCGAGGTCTTGTGTCGTAGTAAGTGCTGGCACGAAATAGATCACTCCCTGCAAAATGGCCATAAGGGCCGGGTAGGGAACAACGTTTGAATTTTAAGCTCTCCACCAGCAAATGGTGGCGTCTCTATATGAGTGAAAAATTCTCGAGAGGGACGTAAAACGATATATAAGCAAAAGCAAAAAAACATTATTACTGCAATTTAGAACCTCTTGGCTTTTATTCTAAATCTGAAATCCAACTTATACATGTATTTTAGGAATCACTGTCTAGTTAGGTGACTATGCCAGGGCATCAACAAAAGTGGGAAACATGGGATAATTTGCTAAAATTATCCCATGTTTCCCTTTATTGTTCATGTACCTGGCATAGTCTCCTAACTAGACAGTGATTCCTTATATTTCCAATTTTACTTGAAATAACAATCTTAAAATAAATCGAAATACCGTCTAATTTAGTAGATTTGAAATGTACAAGGCCCCTTAAAATCTTGACGTCAAATTTACTAAAAAAAAAATTAGTCCCATAAAAACACGAAATAAATTTATTGATTATTTAGTTAATGTAATCAAATATCAACATTTACAAAATAAACAACAAAAGAATTTTAAATTATAATCAAAGCAATCTTGTTAGCTTTAATTATATATGTGACCTAGATTTAAGTTGTCGGAAGCACGAACACGTGTAGGCCCTATGTTACTTATCCGCCGCCATATGGATGCAATGTTGCAGTTAATGAAAAAGAAGTTGGTCAGCATGGTCAGGAAACAGATTTGTTGGGATGTTAAAATAGCATAGGAAGTCGAGTTGCTTAAGAGGTCGAATGGTAATGATTGAGGTCTG